AAAATACCTTATAAGTTGAGGTTTAGACAAGTTTACTAATGTATTCAAAGTCAGGGAGCCATTCCGCAGTGGACATCCTAAGCCCTCTGATTTCAAATCTTAGCGCTTTGCACCAACGTGGAGGGCAGGCTGGAGAACACTGGTTATGCAGATGGAATGAAAAAGATCAGGGTACAAACTCTATCAATAGAGTCACAACGGGGAGACAAACCCGAGTGAGGTAACCAGGGAACGCTACAGGGAGAAAGGACTGGTCTCTGAGCATTAACAATGCTGAATAGGTGGAAACACAGGGGAAATGATAAATCAAGTTGAGGGAACAACACAAGCAAAATTGTGAAGGTGGTATTTGGCAAGTTCGGAGAGCTATGCAGAGTCTCGAAGATTGGGATGCAGTGGATGACCCAAAAGGTTGGGGACCAGACTATGGGTGGCAAAGACTGCCATGCTGAGGCCTTATCTGGAGGTCACGGAAGCCACTGTCCTTGAGGAAGGGTAGTCCCCACTCTACAGAATGATGCCAGTGCTAGCAGCATGTAAAGAATAGGATATGGTTTGTGCTTTCGAAGATCTTTAAACTGTTTATTCTCCTCCCACAGTTAATTTGAACCTCTCTTCTTTCTCAGGAGAAGCAAAAAATCCAATTGCATCTTCACTTGAGCTAAGCCATCACCTCATTTTTCATAGTAAAAAGTACCCCACTGTGTTTCTTTTCCGATCCCAATGATTTCCACAAATTCCAATCTTGCTAGGAAAGTAGGTATGAGAGCCTTCATTCTCTGTGCGTTTGCCATTTATTTGGGGCTCTGTGAGGACTGCCAGTTGCTCCTCAGCACACATTTTTGCTGTTTGAAAAGAATCACAGTACAGAACCTTGAGCTGCTTGTTCACGCTACACATTCTCCACCTCAGCAACAGGTGCAGATGTTGCCTCACCATTATTACTCACGACCAAGCCACTTGGCAGATTCTGTAAAGATTTTCTGTATGAACACTACCAATTTTCCCCCCTTTAAGTGGAGATGGGATGAGTATCAAGTTGTTTTAAATTATTTCTCGTGCTCAAAACGTAAAACCTTTTTGTAATTCTTACTAAATTTTAGCATGTTTATATTTTAGCATTTCTTTCCTTCTGTATAGAGAAAACACTAATTCGCACTAGTGAGAATACAAAAAAGATACGCAACTGCTTTTATGACACAAGAGGAAAACTGAAGAGTATTTTATTCAACCCTTGGGATTGGGTTCAAATGAACAAAACAGAAGGCTTAGAAGACAACTGGCTAGTTCAGAAGAGAGTTAAATGCTAAGGAGCCACGCAGCCTCGTTTATGGTCCTGACTCTGATTGAAGAGCAGGGTGAAAAGTTTTATAGTAAGAATATTTTTCTTCATTCTCATCGACAAATGTTTTCAAGAAAAGAGAATTCTATAGTAAGGGATTAATTTATAATTGCACAATCTGTGATGGACCTGTTTATTTAAAAATAACTTATTTAAAAGGAACTGCATTTCAAATAATTTTATCAACTCATGCATTACTCAAAAGCTCAGAGATTTCAATTTAGTTCGTCTCCTCTAATAAAACCTTCCTAACTGATCTGTGTATTTGCAGGACATGCAGACGGAGCTGTCCAAGAGGGAGTTGGAAATGCACTTAGAGCTTCAGAGAAAGTGGAATCTGAAATCTGAGTCCCAAGTGTAATAGAGATGGCTGAAGACAAGGATCAGAGGTTCTCAGACGAGCATGCATCTCCATCACCCAGAGAACTTGAGTGCTGGGTCCCACCCCAGAATTTGACTCAGTTAGGTCTGCAGTTTTCACAAGTTTCCAGATGTTCATGCTGCCACAGTTGGGGGACCATACTTTTGAGAACTACTGGCCTACATCACCCAGCAAGAATTTACAAGAATTAAGACAGAGATGGAACACCAAAGAAGGATGGGAGAGGTAGAACTTGGGTGAACAATGGCAGAAGCCTCTGGAAGAGAAAAAACTTGGTGGCCCTGTTGATTAGGAAGATAAAAGCAATTTGAAAACAAGTCTCCAAATTTAACACGCGAATTTGGTAATCTGAGAGCAGTTTTATCAGAGTGGTAAAGCCGGATCTGCTCTGGGAGGCTGGGAAGTTATGAAAGGATGAGGAGGGCACAAGAGCAGCTCCTTAATTGGCTGGTTTTCACAAGTCTGCAGGCTGAAGTCAAGGAAGCAGAAACGGAAAGGGTCAAGGATACAAAACCTAGAATAATCAGTGTAACAAGGGCAAAAGCATGCTCTGAACACGAACTCTCCCACCCTTTACCTCCTTGATGCCTCATTTTGCCTTGTTCTACATGGGGCTTCAGGTCACTGCTCTCCCAGATTGTGACCAACCGCCTTTCCAGGTTGTCCTCCCTCCGCTGGTGCAGCCGGTTGCAGTAAAGGTTCCCTAACTTAACAACTATAGATGCAAGTTGATAAAACTCTTGATATCCCCCACCCCAAAGAAAACAGACACTGAATAGTGGTACTTCAAAGAAAAAAGGGAAGGGAATGGAGAATGAGGAAGTTTATTTTTATAGAATGTTAAGGGGCAGTCTTAGTAAAATTCAAGGACGGACTGAATAGACAAACCATGGGGATCCTTATTCCAGAAATGACCAAATACAAAAACTCTTTGAGTCCCGCATACTTGAGGCACAGGCTACCTTGGATGGCGGGCTTTGAATGTGAGTGTGTAGGCACTTCAGTATTCGGAGGTCAGAAAGACAGTAAAATCTAGCAAAGACTGCAGAAGAGGTAAAAGGAAATGAGGAAGCGTTCCAGAAACTTGAGGCCAAACTCAGGGATAAAGAAATGTGACATTTTCTCCCACCAAACTAGCAGACTACATTATAATAATCGATGCGGGAGAGTGCCGAGACAAGCATTTTCACTCATTCATAGGAGTGCAAACTGGGACAACCCTTTAGGAAAGCAACTTAGCAGATTACTCAAGAATCTGGAAAACACTTCTTAACCCAGTATTGTCCATGTGAGAAAAAGTATCTTAAGGGATTAATCCAATACAAAAAGATTTCATGCACATTCACAGCATTGCTATTTTTACGTTACTATACATCAGATGGGGAGTTCATTTGCTGATAATCTGCCCTAAAAACCCTAAGCTAGGAGTCTGCAGCCCTGCCCTTAATGTTCAGCTTCAACAGACCCGCTGGATGTAGGTGTCTCACAACCCCACGTTCTTTTCGACAAGTTGCAATTACAGGTCAGTTAAACATGGTTATTTTAGGCCCCAAGTGCACTGAAGACTGTCAGGAGGCATTTGGTCGCATCCCTTCACACATGCAGGTGACACCACTTACATAGGGAGCAACAGACTTTCTATAGAACCAACAAAGGAATGTTTGGTCTCTTCATCTTTCCACACAATGTGGGGCACTTGATCCCAATTACTCGTGGACAAAATGGTTCTTAAACCCTCAACATTTAGAGAAACACTAGGTTTGTAAACGCCATAGGAAAAGAAATTGAAGAGTAGAATACATTCATTTTTCATTTTTAAAAAGCACTGCTTCTCTCATTAATTTAAAGAGCACTTCCTGAATGCTTACCATGTGCCAGACCCTAGGAGTGCAGTCTAATTAGACAGTCCCTAACCTCAGGTCTAGTGGGAAAGACTTTAAATTATAAGCTCTGTAAAATACACACACACCTGTCCTAACAAACATATGGGGGATTCCATTCCATCAACCCAAACGGAGTAATCTGATTCCAACATTTCCATTCCTTTCCTTCAAATACTTGCATCAGGGAAGTTTCACCCGGACACTCAGGATGAGTGGACGACAGGCAGGAATTCACCAACTCGACAAAGTGTAGGTCTTTCAGGCAAAGGAACTAGGACGAGGACAATTCCAATAAAAAATTTTTCCAACAGCTAGAGCAGCTAGGCTGGGAAGTGCTCAATTCCCTTTGGATAGAATGAATTTGAGTTAAGTCACAACCAAGTAGCAATAGAATAACCTCAATGTGCTCAAAGCATACAGAGCAGCTTTCAAATGCTCCCCTTAATAAACTACTACAGCACTCACCACACCTGGCACGTGGAGTCAGACTACCCGGGATGGGGCTTTGAACACTGCATCTCACTTCCTTTCATGTAAAATAGGCATAACAGTATACTCCAAGCTTTCTGAGTAAATCTGGTAAAATGCTTAGAATGTTATACATGTTATATAAATGGTTACCTTTATTTGAACTAGTCAACCCTTGAACACCATGAGCTGGGGTCACTCACTTAGTGAAATCTAGGTAACTGTCAACTGTCCAAAAATTTAACAGCATACTGGATGAGAGGAAGCCTTAGCAATAGTATGAATGGCTGATTAACATTTCTGTATTATATACTACATTCTCACAATAAAATTTAAGAAAATATCCTTCCAAACTGTACAAATCCCCATTTTCCAATGTATTCACGAAAATCTGCATATAAATGGACCCACACAGTTCAAGCCCCTTGTTTAAGGGACAACTACAGAGGTACTCTAGTTTCAAATTATCAGACTTGCTTTGAGCCCTATTCCATGGAAGGTTCAAGCAACTCAGAACTAGTATGTGACTCAAACAACAGGGTGCTTTAAATAGTCTATTTTTAAGTAGCTGGCTTCAAAATAAGTCTCTGACCCTTAAAACACAGCTATTTGGTGTATGAGACAATTATGAGTAATCAACTTTCCCTGTGCTTAACTGTACCCAACAAATAACCTTTTAGATTTCTTTTTTTCAGAGTGAATTAGGGGACCGTTTTCAAGCTACTGTATTTTATAAATAATATCTGGCAGTTTCCTAACCGAGCTTGGTTTTTGTTGCACAATAAAGCAGCTCACAACTTTCAGCAAGAAAAAAACACATCTGAAGAGTAAAGCCATCACCCAGTCTATCAGGACACCAAGTTTGCTCTAAGTATTTCTTTGGGGGAGGGGACACTACACTTTACTCAATTTAAGAGAAACAGTCTTACAGTCCAGAGATCTTTTATTGATTAATTTATTTATTACACCCATCAAGCCATGAATTCATAGGGAATGGGTTCCAGCAGCTCAGGCTCCTTTCCATTTGTTCTCACAAAGTGTGCTTCTCTGGGTGGAGCTGGCTATTAAAAAAAAAAAGCCAACAAAATAATTAAGTACTGTAATCATTTTCAAAGTGCTCTCAGAAGCAGCAAAATAACATATACACAATTCTTTAATTTCACTAACTTTCACATAGAAGAAAATTATCACTGAGCAATAGTTCCCAAAACCAAAACCAAGAAATCTTGTCAGTGCCACTCACTCACCTGGCGCTTCAGTTGAACCCAAGTTCCTTTCTCTTTGGCTTCCTTCTTTTTCTGATCATTTTCCTTCACACGCTTCAGAAAGCTATCTCGGCTCTTGGAGTGCTTAATGTGCTCGATACGTACATTAATTCTCTTCGCAAGGATCTTGCCCCTGGAGAGAGCAGAAATTCTTATAAATGCTTCATCAAAACTGTTAACTGCAACTCGGAAAACTCTTTTGGCAGTTTCACTCACTAAATAATCAACCTTGTACCCACAGATAGAATCAACCAACAAGTTGACTTATCGACAAGGTGATTTACAATCATTTACTAATCTCACTGGAAGAAGCCTTGAGGCAAGCATCCCCACTTTTAAGGTCCCTCTTCTGATATGAGGACAGACCCTGAAATATTAAATAACCAAACCCAGATTGAAATAAAACTTATGATTTATTTAACTTTTTATACTCTAAAAACCAGGACTGCTTAATACCAAATCCCAAGGAACTTTCTGGTAAGTCTACTTCTCTTTGTTTCCTCTGACAGGATACAAGACAAACATCCAGTTTGCTTGGGTTTTAAAAGGACAGTTCCTTTGCCCCACTTGAATGGCCAATAAAGACATAAGTCCAACTGGCAAAGTGAAAAGCGGGTAGGAGGGAATACTAATTAGCCACAAAGAACTGTAACATTACTTACTTTACTTGTTTGTTCACAACAATGCCAACAGCATGCTGGGTAACATTATAGACTCGTCCAGTTTTGCCATGGTAACATTTGTGGGGCATTCCTTTTTGAACAGTGCCCATTCCCTGTTAAGGAAGGAAATAAATGTTATGCCAGCCATTTCCCCTGCCTTTTAAACTCTAACTTTTATTAAGGTAACCAAGATATACTAAGATTTTTTTTTAAATGGCAACTCAAGAGCTTTCAGAGCCGGTGAAATGTGTTTTTCACATTGCTTCAAGCAATCAAAAAGACAATCATCATTAAGCTCGAGAGTGCCAAAATATGTTTAAAGAGGACAGAGGTTTCACTGTTAATCTCCATCAGTATTTAAATTTTCAACTATTTGTTTTCACCTCACTTTCCCAGCCCCAGCTATTAACAAGCAGATGAGAAAATTTTAGACTCAAAAAAGTCTCAAGATTAAAAAGTCTACAGTAAAATAGCACCTTAAAAACTCGGTTTCTGTAAGTAAAATTAAATTTGCACACTACTGTCTTATGAGCACTTATTCAGGCAATATATTTTTCCCATTTAGGAGACAAAAAAGGGGCGAACAAATACAACATACACTAATGTATGAATTCCAATATTAGATTAAATCCAACTTTTCAAAGTTTTAATGTTATTAGGCTACTTATAACTGTAGGTTATTTCCCCAATTTTGCAATTTACCTTGATGTCTACTATATCACCTTTCTTGTAGATTCGCATGTATGTGGCCAAAGGAACAACTCCTGCCAAATAAAAATAAATCAGTTTCAATTATCAAGGTTAAAAGAACTGGTAAGCTTACTGGCTTTTAACACACACTACCTTTGACAGTCACGTGTATTTTAAAATCTTGCTAGTTGACAATTTAAGAAACTACTATATAAAATTCACACTTTTTATTTAGTAATAAGTAGATGCTACTTAATTAATGCCAACACGTTAAATGAAAACCACAACACATTTTAATGTATGCCGTATTTGCTCTCAAGAAGGGTAAATCTACTTACCATGTTTTCTAAAAGGTCTAGAAAACATATAGCGGGTGCCTCTCCTCTTTCCCTTTGTGTTGGTCATTTTGGTGATTTACTGAAACCACAAGGTATAGAACAGTCAAATACAACCACAAAATTGATACTTACTTTAGCCAGTTACTCTTTAACCAAAAAAAAATCACCTGTTAAATTTCAAATGCTTGCATTACAATAGCAATATCAGAATCACAAAAGTTTAAAAAGTGGATTCATCAACCAGTATTTCTTTGAAAAGGGTTAAAAAAAACCCCATCTTTTAGCAAGTAAGATCTTTGACAAAACTGCAAAGTTCTGACATTAAAACTTCTAAGCAGCAGAACTGGATTTTAGAACACAAACCAGTAGTTTTCCTATTAGAATATAAAATCCCAACAGTAGCTCTACCACACTATTAATCATAAAACCCAGTGTAGAAGGCCTAGGGCACTCCAAGTACTAACTAGAATATATTGTTGGAGAACATGACAAAATTCACCTTGCACACTTACATGCTGGATTATACCTTTCAATATCAATGACTTTCTGTGACAGTAAAGATCTTTGCACAGCATCTATTAACTGTACCTCCATCTTCACATTAATGATTATTTACTCAGTTGTTTACTAGGAAGTGTATCTAAGGTAGAAGAGGGAAAAACTGGCTTTATAATCATGGGCCTAATTTTGACAGAGGTTCTGCCACTTGCTGGGAGACAACATTTAAACTCTGATTACCACCTGTAAAATGGGGTTTTAATATTTTTATAATTGAAGTAACATCTACAAAACATTTAGCAATTCCTAGCAATCATAAAGTGCTTAATAGTAAATAGTAATCAATTTATCATTATCTAAAAATTCTCTTACAAGCATTTAGAACTGAACTTTTCACTTTGTTTCCCAAAAGGTCAAAACAAGGGTTTTTATTGCTTCAGGTCATTCAAGGGCAGAACTACCTACCACTGTGGCAATTACTCCTACTACAGGCAAAATACACCTAAGTCAGCCTTAACCTGACAAGTCTTCTAAATTAATTGGTCTATTAACACTCCTTAAAGAATAGTGACTCCAAAGCACCTTTTTCATGTAACTTGGGTGGTAAAGATACACAAGAATGCTTCACCTAACCCAACAAAGCTTTAAAACTGGCAACTAAGCATCTAGTAAGCGCCACATACCCTGTTTTAATCCTCAAAATCTCTATCCTAATATTAAGTTCATAAGGAGAGATGCTCTGCCGGTCCAAACCACTTTATGGGTCTCAAATGGCAAAATCATTAATGGAAGTCACTTGTTACTCCAGAGCCCACACTCCTTCCACCAGACCCATTTTTCCCAAGGAATTCTTTTTCATCACGACCCAATATACATAGAATTGAACGCACTTTTTAAGTACTTCAGTGCGAAGTAACGATGATTTAGATTCTTTAATAGTACCAAAAACAGGACGCACAACAGGGCGCAACCTGCAGGTTGCTCAACTCTGGTAGCTGCCTACTAAAATCTATAAACTAGACAAAAAGATAAGAAGACTAAGACTAAGTGGTTCAATAAATATCCCCCTAACCTTCTTAATCAGAGACATGGCTATTGGGTAATCCCTTAACATGCTGCCCAAGAATTAACAATACTCTGTGGCAACCTTACAGTACTTTCCCTTTATCCGGGACAAAATTAAAAATCGGAAATCATGCGTTAAAGACGAAAGGTTTGGGGTTTGTTCCCACAACTCAGAGGGCACTTCACTCTCTTCTCCGACCACCAGTCCAGGCTTTCATGCACACCGGAGATTAAAGCCGACGCCTGGTTTTAAATCCATTCCTACTATCCTTACCCGACAGCATTACAAACTTATGTTTTAGATTTGGGGGTGAACTGCCGCACTTAAAAGTTGCAAAAGCATCAGGCCACGCGGCCCCCACAGAACGTGTCCGTGGAGGTTCAGGATACCGAGACGGAAGCCTTGGAGACATAGAAAAAAATTCCTTTCCAGACTAACCCGAGTCGCCCCACCCCAATAACCCGGCCCGGTTTTCCTCAACCCTGTCCCCCTGCAGGGCAGCGACACCTCAGACTAGTCCTGTCCCCCGCCTGCCGCTGGCGATCTGAATGGACGCAGCTTCACCACCCAGGTCAAGGGGCCCCAGACAGGCTGGAGAGTCTCTCTAGAGTCCCAATACACAGCCTCGAATACTGCAAAGACAGGACGTAAGTCTGCGAGACGTACGGCGAGGGGAGCCACGCGAAGACCCTACCTGGAAGATGGCGGTTCCGGACGAAGAGAAGAAGGCGGTCCTGCGCGGCGCGTCTCACAAGGGCCTCCGGGCTGCCCGCGGCAATGCCTGAAAGAAACGCCAGTTGAAAGCGACTTTTCCGGGGTGGCGGATCTTCCCTAAGACCAAGGAGAGCCTGGGAGGACATTTTCCTTCCTTGCGAACAGGAGGAAATGGATTAACAAATGCTGGCCCTGAGATTTTGCCAGACAACCCGGAATGGGGCCTTCAGGGCGTCCAACCGGACGCCGACGCCCGAGCGTGGCCGGCGTCCGTCCTGCGACAGAGCCTACGCCGGAAGTGGGCGTGTGTCTGCGTCCGCACGCGCCCGGGAGCGGCCTGTCGTTGCGGGTTTAAAATGTTAGCAGTGCTAATGATTGCTGTTCCCGGCATGATTACGAGGGCACAAGAGTTAAGTTGTAATGACCCAGGCATATTACCCGGTTTGTATGTCTTTCAATAAAACGTTTCTTTATGCGTTAAAACGTACTGCACACTTGCTGGTAGGTGCCTAAACGTTAAAATCACTGGAAAGCAATTGGGCAAAAATAATAAAACTGAAGTTCCAGATATTAAATCCTAGCTTTGCACTCCTTAGTATGTATCTTTTAGATACTTTGATATGTGAACAAGGATGTACATAATTGCATTGTGAGTAAAAGCAAAAATTTGGAAACATCCACCGAATAGAATAAATACGTGGGATATTCATACGATGGAGTAATAGATGCAGTAAATCAAGACTAAACGCGGAGATACGAGGCAAAAAGAGGAAGACGTAGACTATACGTAATAGTTTATATACTTACAATTTTAAGGCATGTAAAACAATACCGTGTATTGCTTAGGGATTCATATATATGTAGTGAAAGTAGTCAAGAAATAAAAGAACGAAAATCACATTTTAAAGAGTGGCCATGTCCAGTAGGGACGAGGACTGTAAAGAGGTAAAAGGGAGCTCTTACTGTCCCCAACATTTTTAGCGGGGCATTGAATATATAGGTGGCCATTATCTTACTCATTATACGGGGCAGGTATTCTTGAGATTTCATGTCTGCTCAGCTTACTTCAGTCGTTTACCTGCCTTGCCCTGAAGGCTTCCGAGGGTTCAGCCCCTGCCACAAGTTCAGCATCAGCCATTCTCAAAAGGGTACTGAGGAGTGTCTAGCATCTCTGCAGTTCCAGAGATAGTTTACCTGCTCTCTGTAAAGACTGTTTCACATTTTTTCTGTGATTATCAAATTTCCATCCCTTTCTCCCACCTTTCTTTCAGCTGATAACTGCTTCATTTTTATCAGTATGCTAACTTGCTCTGATCTTTCTACCTAAACCCACAGCGCTCTCCTTGCTGACCCTCCTTGACCTCATCTTCCCTTCTATCTACCGCTCCTATTTTTTTCGATAACACTTTTTTTTTTTTCCAAAGAATCATGACATTACTGTTTCTGGGCATCAGCAGCTCAGATTTCAGTAATGTCCTATGGTTTAACCAAATATAAGAATGCTGTTGTGTCTTCCTCATTTCCCTTTCTCTTTTTGGTTTAATCTGAAATCTGCCCCAATCATGCCACTAAAACTGCTCTTATCAAGGTTATCAGCTTCAGAACAGATGGACCTAATCGAGGTTATCAACTGCTTGCAGTGTTTCCAGAACCAAAAGACATTCCCTGTTCTTGTCTTTGGACTCTGTTGGCCATTCCTTCCTTGAAACACTACCATTTCTGACCACACCCTATTTTGCTCATTTTCCCTTCTCTCCCTGTCCTCTACATAACAGACTTCCCGAGGCCTTGGAATTAGTTCCCCTGCTCTTCTCTTTTTACATGTTCCTCCTAGGGAATCCCATTTACACCCATAATTTTAAATTTCATTTTTATCCTGCTTACTAGTAGATGTGTTTCTTAAATTCAGGCCTGCCCTCAACACTTAGATTCATCCTGTCATCTATTCTTGGATACCCTTTAGCATCTCAAAGCTAACATGTACAAAATAAAACGTTTGATTTCCACCCCCAAACCTTTTTACTCCCAATATTTCCTGTCAGTAAATGGCGTAAGACAGAAACTTTGATTTGATTTTTGAAGTTTTTCCTTACCTCCTCCACATCCGAATCTTGTTCCAGCTCTACTTGTGAAGTATGTATCCAGATGGCCTACTTCTTTCCGTCTCTACCACCACCACTGGAATCTCCTACCTGAACTAGCAATGGTCCCATGCAGGCCCCTTTTTTCCTCTCTTGTTGCTACTATTTTTCCTCCTTAGCAGCCTGAGTGATCTTAAAAAAAGGAAGCACGATCATGTTACATCTTCGCCTAAAGCGCTCCAAATGCCTTCTTTTGCTCTTAGAATAAATTTAACATCTTCACCTTGGTGTACAAGGTCCTGCATAAGCCAGTTCTTGCTCATTTTTTCAGGTTCCCTCTGCTCCTCCCTAAGATCACCGTAGATCCCATTGCCCTGTTTAGTTCCATAAACCCTCCACCCCACCGCTTCCCCACTGCCACAAACTTTCTAGCCTCTGGGGCTTTATGTATGCTGTTCCCTTTGCCTTTCAAAGTGCTCATTTTTTCTCATCTTGTTTCCTAAATATGCACATTGCTTTGTATATCTAAATTTCTAGGAATTTATTAAGATATTTTAAATTACAGAGCAAATCAGGATGTTTGTGACCAAAGTATTTTCAGTAACTTCCATTTTCTTTTTCTACTTCAGTTAACTTTTTAAAAATCTTTGTCATTGGAAAAATTTAATTCTAAGTTACTTTTTCTGTTTTTTAGCATATTCTGTTATTTACCTCACTTACCAGTTGATCTGGGCTAAGTGTAACCAAAATGATATTGCCATTATCCTAAGAAAAGCATAATTAAAAAAATAAAAATCATAGTGCACCAATATGAATTCCAAAATTAAATGTGTTCTTGCAGCAGCCCACCATTTTAGGCTTTGTATATTGTCTTGACTTAATGTAAATAGTTGAACCCCAGATGTATGTTTTGTATGTGTGTGTATATGTAGACATATGTATGCACATATACATATGCATATGTGTGTATAATATATATAGGGAGAGATTGGGATAGATTTTTAAAATATATGCACTAAAATGCACAGATCTTAAGTGTACAATTGGATAACTTTTGACTAATACACATAACCTTGTAACCAGTATCCCCAGTCAAGATAATAGAACATTGCCATCCCCATGGAAAACTCCTTGACGCTCCTTTCCAGCTGATCCCCCCCACCAGAACCATCCAATATTCTGACTTCTATAACCATAGATTAGTTTTGCTTATTCTCAAACATTATAAATAGTACTGTAGAGTATGTATTCTTTTTTGTTTGGCTTTTTTTATCGCTAAGTAGTATTTCACTCTGAATATATCACAATTTGATGGAAATGCCGATTGTTTCCTCTTGATGGACATTTGCACTGTTTACAGTTTTTACTACTATGAATTAAGTTGCCATATATATTTTTGTGAATATGTTTTCCTTTTGTGGGGGTAAACACCTAGAATTAGCATTGCTTGATCATGAGGTGTATGTCTGACTTCATAAATAATTGCCAAATGTCTTTCCAAAGTGAGCCCCCATTTTATTTATTAAGCATTTTCCTCTGACGAGAGTAAGACATTTATTTTTACCACAGGCTTTTAAAATAGGTTTGTGTCATAGCTCCACCGTACAGATCTGAAAACCAAAGTGGTTTCCTGAGTCTTTAATGGCCAGTTTGTCTCCACTTTGAGATCATTAGTGGAAAGAGAATAAGAAAAACATTGAAACTTAAAAAGAAATGAGAAGTAAATTAAATGTAGAGAGTACAAAAACTCAAAATTCATTCAATATTTATTAACGTCTAGATTAAATCAAGTACTGTACTGAGTGATGAGACTATAAAAAAATGAATAAAACATGATCCTTGCCCTCAAGGACTCCACGAAGAGAAAGGTGAGTACATTACAATATCCTAAGTCATAGAGTAGAGGACATTGGGTGTGCACAGTATGCCTAGGTTTGAATGATGCCACTTAGATTAGAGGAGTGGGAGAGGAACCCCTGGGCAAAACGGAAGCTTCACAGAGGAGGTGGAACTTAAGTGTGTAACACTTTGACCAGAGAACAAGTAGTAAGGGTATTTTAGGCAAAGTATTTTAGCTTATGTAAAGGCATTAGAACGAATGCAAAAGAAAGTCATTTGATAGCTTTAGAAAATAAGGTCAACAAATGAACAGAAATGTGATATATTAAAATGAAGCAAACCTAATCTTGTATCAAGCTTGAGTGCTAAACAAAACCCACAACTTTTGGTCATTAATCTAAATTCACATCTCGAATTTCCATTTTTTGTCTTCTTCTGTGAAGTGACTTTAACAGAGTATGTGTCTTGTTTTATTTTGGCTTTCAGAAGACATTTTCCCCAAATGTCCATGGCAGGAGGATACGCATCTGTCCTCTGTGCATGAGGCTCTAGCTGGGATCTCCATTTGAGTATCAATCAATTCCATTTGATTTGCCAGCAGTCTTGGTAGTTTAGCAGAACAATTTCAAGTAAGAATTGATTAGGAATTTCTGCTGTAGAAAGTATATAATGAAAATTCTTGTCACCAGGAAAATGTCAATGTCACTGTAATGATAGCTAAAAATGAGGTCAGAAATACTATGAAAAACAGTGAAACATATAGTGAATAATTACATAAAGCAATCTTCTACCACCAAAATTTTCATTTGAGATCTGAGAAGCAGAAAAAAAAGAACAAGATAAAATCTTGTTTTTTATTAAACAAGGCAGAGAGTGTGCTCTTCCAGAATCTGATGTATATCTGAAAACAGTGAAGAGTAAGCAGGCTCGTGACCATGTGATGGACATTCAAATTGAATCTCAACTCCCCAGCCCACGTCCTCATTGTCTGCGTCCAGCTTTTTCTGTCCCTGAATCCTGATTTTTGCTCCAACATGTAAAATACCTTCAACAACCCTAGACTTTAACACCAGTGCAACATGAGGCAGAACCTAATCAGGTATCAGAAGCGTTCAGGCAAGTGTTGAAATGAGAATTGGTGTAAGTTGAGGGAGAGGAAATCCCGGGGCAAAATACCTCTAAAAACCG